GGTTGGGCGAACTCCCATGCACCCTCCAGGACCCTGCTGAGGGTGTAGAGCTGGTCCGCTGTTCCACGACCAGGACGAAAACCACACTGCTTGTCTTGAATCCGAGATTCGACTATCCGACCGACCCTCCTCTCCAGGACCCCTGWATAGACCTTACCAGGGAGGCTCAGAAGTTTGATCCCCCTATAGTTGGAACACACTCTGCGGTCCCCCATTTTAAATAGGGGGACCACCACCTCGGTCTGCCAATCCAGGAGAACTGCCCCCCGTTAGGTCAATTGTAACTCTAAATTGTCCAGGGTGTACCCCACCTCTCGAACAGTGACTGCTGCAGACAGGCACCAACTTCCACGCTACACTAAATAAAAAAGTTGGCAAAGAAAAGGGAAGCTGTCAAGGTGGGCACAAAGTGGGCTGAGGTGGGTACAATGTTGGGAGGTGGGAAAAGAAATCATGTGCACAATGCAGTTTTGTCTACTGTAAACACAAAAATAATTACTTATTTTTTAATAGTTGGCCACCAAACCCATTAGATGGCTGCATTTTGTCTTATTGATGTTTATTATTCCCTACTTACTTTAAAGTGAGTGATCCTGTTTCTGAAGCTGCTTTAAGGCCCTGTCAACACTAAAGATGCCTAAACTGAAAATGGAATTTAAAAAAATAAAATCTACTGGAAGCCTCTTTTGGACCTATAGGTCAAATATATGGCTGATGTGTATAAAATAGTCTTAATACYTTTTTTCACAAGTCGGCCTAAGTTRTCTAAAACRTWATAGTGTAAGGGTCTTTAACTAAACAAATCAGTCAATGCAGAAATAATAAATTACAATCATTTCTGTTTGTTTTCTCTTAATCAAAAACCAGCTTGGTTCAGCTTCTGCAAACATCATCTGTTGGAATCAGAGAGGTCATGCAGCAAATAAATCATTGAACAGATAAAGCCAGCTGATAAACAGCAGCTAACCTTTCGCGTGGGAAACCCCTCCTTTGTCCTTCAGATGATGCTATGTCATCAGTTTATTAAATATTTTGTGAACCCATCTTTGTCCCAAGGCATGCAGCTGAAGCATCCTGGAACATAAAGCAGGGAGGGGAGGTATGGAGGGTTCTTCGGGGGAGTGAAATGCAAAGATCCAGCGGAGGTCAGGAAGTGGCCCCATTGTTTTCAGGGTCAYCTCGCTTTTCCTTTCCGAGTCTCGGAGGTCCATTCTCTCCACTTAAGAAGTGGATGTCACATAAACAAAACTCCTCGTCCCCCTCGACTGTATCTTGTCCTATTTCCTGTCTCGCGTAGGGACAGCTGAGAAAAAAGGCTTATGTTTGATTTTAGGAGTGGCACCTGAGGCARTGGACTACAAACAGACACTCCCACTACAGGTGATAAACATTTCAAGCTAATTTATATTGTATTACGTATTAAAATAGGTGTTTACACTATCAGCTTACACTGATTGCAGTGTCACATATAAATAAAAACACAACACATTGCTTCTAATATATCATCTCTTCCTGGTTTAGCTCTGGTGAGTGACAGAACTGCCTGATGYCCAGGTCTGCTGCACGGTTTGACAGGGAAGGGCAGCAGGAGGCAGGAGGGAGCACACCTTAGTTACTGAAGTTACTCATTAACACGTTGTTCTGGGAAGCGGCGAAGAGAACACCCAGTTCAACCTTTTTTTTTTTGTTTTACGACATTTCTCCATGTCGCTGACAAAAAGCGAGAGAAAACACTGATGTGAAAATGTGTTGACAGAAAAATCAGGTGAAATCTGAGGCTGCGGGGATTTTCACGGACAGGTGACGAGGTAAGACTTTAAATAAACAACTCTAACAGGGCTCTTTGACCGGACAAACATCAGATTGAGTAATAGCTCTCAGCTGGACACGGTTCTCAGAAAATAGCACACAAAATGGCTTTAATGTAATAAATGATATATTTGTGCATTGCGGTATTAACACGGGGTGAAAATGTTCAAAACTATTTATAAAAAGGACACAAAAATGTACAGATATTCTTGTACTTTTAATGGGCATGTACTGTTTTAAAGTGTCACTGTGCAAACAAATGATAAACTTGACTTGTAGAGCATTTATGATATAAATTCTAGCTCAGCCAGAGATGCAAAACTCAAAAAATAATTATAAAAATGTCGAATTCAYGTGTTGTTTTTTGCCATTTGACTTTGTGTTTGCATTTCCTGCACTCTGACCAGGCACACTGCAACACTCATCTGCACAAACATGAGCAACACACCTAAAGGTTAGAAAACTCAAAGGAAAACRAAGCTCASATAAAAAGGCATTAGTTAAAGGGRCTAAATGGATTATCAGTTTGGTGTATTCACAACATACAGAATAAGGAAGTAGCTGTGAGGGATTATTATACTATGAAGTGTAAATGATGATCATAATAAGAGGTTTCTCAAATAGGGTGCCCAGTGTGGTAGATGTGGGGGTTAAGGGTCTTTCACCAAAGGGGCAATTGAGGGTTGAGACAGATGYCTGTGCTGCTCTTTTGCCACCCTTTTTATTTTATTTTTTTTGTAATTCATGGGGTGCCAAGTGTAAAATGTTTATATATATATATATAT